CCCTTAGCTTGGTGAATGTGGTAACATTTCCCTTTGCAAAGAATACCCAATCCAGTGCAAGGAAAATGAAAAATTTATTTTTATTTGCACATGATGGGGCAATGAAAGTGAGCAGAGTTTCACCTCATTCACTTTCCCTGTAAAGTGCAAATTCCATTGGAAAGTGAACCGCCTAGTTTCCTTTAGTAAATTAACCCTATTGAGTTATTATAAAGGTAAAAGTTGCATTCTTATGCTGCTATGTTTGGTCTGGGCATCTTGGCTTTAATGACCTCAGGTCATGAAGGGGTTGATACAAGTTGCCAACTACAAAATTAAAAAGAAGACAAATTATCCAACCATTATAGTAACTCCTATTGTTATAACTCCTCTTATACCAGAAGCAACTAGAAATAGAAAACTGCTTCATATGACAAACTTGACAACATCTGCTTGCCCTTAGACACAACTGAGAATGAAAATCAAGTATGTAATTGCCAATCCTTTTTCCATGTCATGTTATTTTCAGCAAAACACAGCCAAAGCATGTTTTTCAACACAGCCCAAAAGGCAAAAGTAGGCTCAAGATCAAAAGAAAAAAACTTTACATATAAATAAATACTTTTTAATTAATATTTAACCTTGAAAGAAACATTAGTTATGTGGATACTGTAGAAACACACATCTGAGGACAGGTTCCATTTATCTTTCTTGTATTTACTGGAGACCTCACACTATTGCAACAGCATTGTGATTCTGATGCTGCCCTGTAAAGCATTTTTAAATACACGCTTGCTTTTTTAAATTCCTAACCTTTGTCTTTATATTGAAGTTAAGTCTAGCCACAACATTCTGTTACACACTTTTACTTCATGATGTATAGTTCTTTATGTATGGTTTGTCTCTTGCGATTCATCTTCACCTTTTTAATGAATTTTCTGTCTGTATTTTTTCTGGTTTGGGAATTCATTGCTTATAAATTTTCAAATCTATGTTTAAAAGCAGAGCCTTTGGGACTGGATGTTCTCTTGCTGTTGTTGATTTTTCTCTGAGGTGCTAAATTAGGCACAGAAAATTCTTTGTGATAATTTATTGTTGCCTGCTCATTAGAATGACAGTTTGCTTTTGTTACATTGTATTATGTTTCATGTGTTCATTGTTGCAAAGATAGTGCTAATTTCCATGAAATTCACTTTTGTAATTTTTTTGGAAACATTTCTTGAATGGATTATATTGAATGTAATCAAGCTGATTATTCAAATAGTTTTAACACAGGAATATATTAACCATCTGTTAACTTTATTTTTTATGTTTAACATTAATAATTATTAACATGAGTGAAACATTTATACATTAACACTCCAGGGCTACCTCCTTCCCTGTTTTTCCCTTTGATACCAATTGTAGCAATCCGTTATATCATCATAAAAAATTAACATACCACAGGTTTGTAGGGAAGCCAACCTTATAAACCTGACACACTAATCTTCTATTTATACACAAATAGGGAGCCATGGGCAGAATAAGGTTTGGCCCTTCATCTAAAAAGCATGCATATGATATTTGTTGCACAGTACTTCACTATAAGATTTAAATTAAGAACAACTGATGAACAGAAAATCCTCCTGAAATAATAGCAGGTGTACTTCTATACATTAAAGGTCCAATCCACAAAAAATTGATAATTAAGATTTAGGTAGTGCCTGGAGTCTTGTGGTCATCCTCAGGCATCATATACTGTATGTTTTGTATATTAATATAAGAAAGCGTGCTCTTCCTATTCATATGCACTCTGGAGGTTTGTATTTTTGTCATCTTTACATGTTTTAGTCCCTCCTATTGCATTAGTCATAATATAAAATAGCATATACTGTAGTTGTTAGAAAAGTTCCACTGACTTGGTGCTAGTGATAGCTTAAAATCTTCCAAATGCAGAGAAGTATATTTTCCCACATGATAGGCAGCTCCTCAAAATAATTGGGAAATCACTCAGTACATGTAATGAAACACAAGGCACAGACTGCCATACTCTTTGGAAGAACTGTTTATTTAAACACTAGAAAAACAAGTGAATGAATACTCACACAGGTACAATGAAAGATGCTTTGCCACATACAAAGCTACCAAGGAAGCTGTAGTTCCAGTAACTACATTGTTGGCTTTGATGATTTGGACGTGAATTGGGCATGCCCCAGAAATGTGTCAGCCTAACCACACATGGCCATCACCAGGAAAGAGACACCAGAGCATGGGATGGAAGCGGCTCTAAATTACATGGAACGGGGCGGTTCCTGGAACTACACCTGTAGTGGTTTCCTTGGCTGCTGTGTATGCGGCAAAGAATCTTTCATTGTGCCTTTGTGAGTATCCAATCACTTTTATTTATAGTGTTAAATAAACAGTTCTTCACATAAGTATGGTGCTCTGTGCCTTGTGATTCATATTATAAAATTTTAAAAAAACAGAGAGAGTAGGACTTGCCAGATATCTCAGCAAATAAGTCTCCGGGAATTATTAGAACATTTCAGATGTTTTAAATTTCTAGTCTCTGAAATATTAGGTTTGGGTGGACTGATCTTTTCATTTTTTAAGTACAATTACTCTGGAACTTAACTTTGCATTTTTGGAAATAAGACTAATTAATAGAGCCAAATAAATAAATCCAAACAGACTAAGCCAGGTCATCTTCTATATCTTCCTCCACGGGATGTTCATTCTGATCATGGGATAACTCTTTCACAGTTAATTCTTAGAAGTAAAAGTCTTGCTCTGCAGTAATGATACTGAATATATAATTACATAGTTAAATAGCAGGTAAGGTTGAATAAAGACACAGGTCCATCGAGTTCAATCTATGCGGTTTTGGGAGGGTGTGTTTGAGTTATTAAGATTACCTGTATATCTTGTTCACTGAGAAAAGTATCTAGACAATTCTTGAATGATTCCATACTCTCAGCTGAAACCACTGTCTGTGGAAGGGAGTTCCCCAATTTTACAGCTCTCACAGTAAAGAATCCCCTTCGCTGTTTAAGATGAAACCTTTTCTCTTCAAGTTTCAAATTGTGGCCTCTTGTCTTCTTGAGTGAACTAACTATATCCAGTATATTACTGATTATCCCATCGTCATTAAACAATTTGTACATTAATATCATGCCCCCTCTTAGTCTCCTTTTTTTTTAAAGTGAACAAGTTTAATTCATGCAGTATTTCCTCATAGTTTATGTCCTCTAGCCACTTTATTAGCTTTGTCACCATTATTTGGACTTTTTCCAGCTCAAGGGCATCCTTTCTGTGAATCGGTGACCAGAACCAAACCGCATACTCAGGATTTTGCTGAACCAATTTTTTATATGGGGAGAATTATGGATTTGTCTTTAGAGTACATTCCCTTTTTTATGCATGATAGTCCTATTTTTCTGTATTTACTGCTGCCTGGCATTGCTGTTATGAAGGAGGCTGTTCACTAGGACTCCAAAAATCTTTTTTCACCTCTGATTCCCCCAGTGGGATACCCAGTTGTGAGAGTCTTTGCATGTGTATTTTTAATTGCAAAATGTATAACTTCAAACTTCTCAATATTAAACCTCATCTGCTATGCTGTTGCCCACCCTCTATTTTATCCAGGTCTTCCTGTAAAATGTCATCTGTCAAGTTTATTGCCCTACAAATTTTGGTATCATCAGCAAAAACGCAATTATTGTTGTTAATACCAGTCCCAATATCATTGATAAACAGGTTGAATAGCAATGGCCACAAGACGGAACCCTGGGACACGCCACTGCCAAACAAGGACCATTCAGAAAATGAGCCATTTATTGATACTCTCTGGACACATTCAATTAGCCAGTTCTCTAACCAAATACACACCATATCATCAATGAACAAAGATTGAAGCTAGTAAACTATACGGTATGAGGTACTGCATCGAATGCTTTTGCAAAATCAATATACACTATGTCCACCTCCATCTAGGTTGTGCCTCATAGAACACTAATAGGTTGGTTTGACAGAAATGGTCTTTCCTGAAACCATGTTGGTTGTCACTTATGATAACATGCCCATAAGCATATTCTTGGATATGGTCCTTTCACATACCCTCAAATAACTTTATATCATCAATGTTAAGCTGACCGGTCTATAATTTCCAGGTATGCATCTCAAATATATTTTAAATATTAGTACAAGAGTTGCTTTATGTCAATCAATCAGTATGAAGGCCTTAACAATTAGAAACAATGGCCTCTCTATAATCATGCTCTTTTTAAGTATCCATGGGTGCAAATTATTTGGTCCTGGGAATTTATTCACATTAAGTTTTTATAGTCCGTGGTGAACCCTATCTTCCATGAACCACAGTGGTATTTTCTTCACAGTGCTACACAGATTTTTGTTGTGTACATTAAAATCATTGTTTTCCCAAGTAAATACTATGGAGAAGAATGCATTTAATACTTTAGCCATCTCCCTGTCATTTGTTATCAACCTCCAATTATCATCTTTTATTGGAACCACCTGTTTCTTTCTTTTTTCTACCTTTTTGTTGTTTATGTATTGGAATAATTGTTTGGGGTTTTTATGATTGACTGACTGACTTACACCATATATACCTATATAGTGTATGTTCTTAATGATAGATACATGAAGGCAATATTGTTGTTTACATTGTCATTTTACATAATACTAATGTAAAATTATATAAACTGTTAGATTTAATAATAAAAGAATATTGACTATAAATTAGTATAGTTTTCCTTTAACGCTGGACAGAGCAGTTTATTGACCTCTTGAGTCATTTCTGCGTGACCATGACCTGCACTAGCCATACATTTTATCAAGGGATTCAGCTCATTAGTGTCATCCAATAGTGAAATTTAAATTATTAGTTTTGGGTGGACATATTCTTTAACTGCATTGATAGCCTATAGATGCATTAAAATAAACAGGGTGTTGAAATTACATACATTTTCACAGTCCGCCACAGCTTCATATGTGTTTCATGAAGTTTTCATAACATTACATACCTTTCTTACAGTTATGACACCGTCTTGTGTTGCTCTCTCTGTTGTTGTTTCAAATATGCCCATTTCATCTCCATCTGTTATTCTATAACGAACTTCAGCATTTCTGCCAATATCAGCATCCACTGCTTTTATATGACCAACGGTAGTCCCAACTGGAGATGATTCTGAGACACTAAGATGGTAAGTATCTGCAGTGAAAAGTATAAAGGTCATTGTTGATATAAAATTGTATCAGTAGGGCATAATTGTAATTTTGCTAACATCATTTAGGACATTTATGTCACTAATGGATGTTCTAATTAAATATTACTTACAAAATGTCAAAATAAAGGTTTCTTGGCAGTATTTCAAGGCTTTTTAACTTTAAATGTCGCCTATGACATCATAAGCATAAAAAAGAATACTTTAATTGATTACCATTGCAAATTCTACACATAAATGTATAAAAATATGTTAGCCTTTGTATGCAATAATGGACATAATAAAAGCTGTATTTTTTAACATATTTAAATGTAAAAAGTAACCTTTTTTGATTGGGGAGCTCACAATATTGTGAAAAGTAGGCAAGACCACTAGCCCCTTCACCCAACATGAGTAAAAAGGGAGTAAAACACAATTGCACTGACATTACCAAAAAAGTCAATGTGTTCTAAGATTGGACAAGGGACAGTGCTGTCACAATCCACCCCACATCCAATCAAGAACCAACTTGTATTCATTGGTAAATATACTAGGCATTCTCTGAATGGTCACTGTGCTGATCAAGTGCCCTCCAGTGTTTTCAGAGCAGATAGTGCTAAGCCACTTAGCTTAGCACCATTATAGGACCTAGAAGATCACTGTAAAGCACTGTAGTAGCTCTCACTACTACAGTGCTTTACAGGATCCCTGTGGGCTGCTCAAGAATGTCATATGCATTAGGCCAAGCTGGACCAATGTATGGACAGTTTACATACAAAGTTATACCTGGAGTTTAGCGTTAACGTTTTCAATAAAAGGGATATGCTTTAATTTTATGTAGACATTAAGCCCTCAGTTATTGCTAACTAAAGCAATTGCGACTTTAATGTTTTTCTAGTGCCTGGGAAAAGTAACATAAATGTGCTATCTGTGCTGATAAAATTTTTAGAGGGTTATTCACTAAGTTGCCAAATGTAGCCAAATGAATAACTGAGCCGAAGTTAACTGAGGCGAAGGACGTTCAGCTATTCACTTCGACTCAGTACAGCTGATTTCAGCCGTACATCCGCTGCCTTCTGCTGCCTTTGGTCAGCGAACATGCTCTGTTTAACTCAGCCATTTGAACATCTGGATTTGCTGAGCCGAAGCTCTGGCAGCTCACTTGCTGCCGCTCGCCCCTATTCTCATAGGGGCTGAACGGCAGTAAGTGAATAGCCGAATGCCGCAGAGCAGCTGTATTCAGCTTGGCTATTCTGCTCGCTACCTCTGAGGTAGCAAGCAAAATAGAAAACATTTAAACAAAAATTTTTTTTTAAATGATTTAAATAAATGTAAAAAAAAGAAAAGAATAAAAAATATTCTAAAGAAAATAAAAAAAAACTGTGTGGGGTCCCCTCCCAAAACAATACCAGACCCTTTAGGTCTGGTAGGAATTTTAGGAGGGACCCCAAGTTACAAATAAAGGAAAGTGCGTTGGGTTCCCCCCAAAGTCATACCAGGCCCTTAAGGTTTGGTAGGAATCTTAAGGAGGAACCCCACCCCCCAAAATTGAAAAAACATGGGGTCCCCCCTAAAATTCCATACAAGACCCTTGATCCGAGCATAGGCCTGACAGGGCAGGAAAGGGGGAATGAGCGAGCACCCCCATCCCTGCCATACCAGGTCACATGTCCTCAGCACTGGGAGGGCATGTGGCCTGGTATGCCCAGCCACCCAGCTGTTGTCATTTGTGTGGAGAACGGTCGGCTTTGGCCAACCTTTCTCCCCGCTTCAGCTGTCGCTACGGCTCAGCCGAGCTGAAGCATATGCGCTAGGCTTGGCTGAGACACTCATCTGCCTACAGCTGCTATACAGGCTATTGTGAATAACCGGTACATCAGCAGTTCATTTCGACTAAACCAAATGGCTCCAGTTGCTGAAGCGAGCCGAAGGATAGATCCTTCAGCAGGTAAGTGAATAACCCTCTTAATGTTAACTTCTTCACCACATGGTAATATTTCTCCACACACTAAAGGTTTTTGCAACAGTACCAGTACCGTTACTATTTTTCTTCTTCAAAGTCACTTGCTCTCAACAATAAACTTAGGTAATAATTCCACAACTAGAAAATGAGTGGTGACACTTACTTAATATGTAATAGGCAACAGGTATAAAAAAGGAATGAGATCTGAGAATACAGCAACAATACATACAGTTTAAAGCATCACTTTTGATTTAGCACTTAAAATCTACTATAAACAAGTAACAAAATGCTAAATATATATACTAGGGACTCAATATTAGTTGAAGTCTGAAAAATTGTTACAAAAATATAATAGAAAATATCTATACCACCATAAACTAAACTGGCACCTGTATCAAATTGCTACAGTGCAGAAACTGTTAACTACTAGAAAAGACATAAAAATGCATTTCAGAAAGGAACACATAGGATAAATAACATATTAATGCACTTTAGGTTGTCCAATAAGTGTTGCAAATGCATGCATATGATGTTGGTAGCCAGTTATATCATGTAACCTATGACTTTGTATGGAATAAAGGTAATAGCAAGGATTTGCAGATAAGTATGCTTGAGATAAATTAAAACGAGATATATTCAGTGAAGAGTCTTAATGGTATCATACAGAAATGCCAATCATGAAGATTAAAGAGTTACAGCTGCATATAATGCAATAGGAAAAAGCTATCAATGTCTCCTGCTCAAAAGTATACTGAAGATATCCCAAAGTCACCACACAGTCTTTACCAGGTAAATTGTCAGCAAAAATAAACATGTGCGGACATACATTGCTGTCTGTATAAGTTTCCAAATGTGTCTCTTAATGGTGTATTCCTTATAATACACTGGACAAAGGCGGAGTATTAAAACTTCTCAAATGTATATATGTATATGTCAACTATATGATGACTGCTGCTTACTCTGTATTTTTGATTTCTTTCTATTATTTATTTTCTTTTTCGTTACTTATTATTGTCCTTTATCCTGGTTATTTGCTTTGCCTGCACCAAAGCTTTTTTTGTCACAAAATTTTGAAAAATTTTCAATAAAAACCTATTGAATTAAAACTTCTCAAATGTCAGTCATTATATAGGTGATGAATCCCTACGTCCTATGGTCCGGTGCGTCTTATGGACCGCAAAATACGGTATGTGTTTGATAGAGTTCACAGTCCTTCATGGGAAATACTTTGTTGTAGTATGAATAGACTGATACAAAGTTTAATCCACAGTCAGCAAGATTCAAAACCACTGTATATTGTACACAACGCTGAATTAGCATCCATGAAAAGGTCACAGATGTGTGTCAAGCCTGATTACCTGATGTATGAGTACCACAGGCAGTGTCCAAAATAATGAAGTTCATTCAGCAATCATTAGGTTTGCAGCAAGCATGTGCCACTGTATGTACATGGCACAACCAGCTTCCACACCTGAACCAACTGTGTATAACATTTGACAGAAAGTGTGATGGAACTAAAAATGAATGTCACAAGATAACACCCTTCATTCTTCCCTTTCAAGGTTTTTTTTACAAGGATTAATATTTATTGGTGTTACATTGCATGTATCAACATACAGAATACGATGTCTCTCTGCCCAGCCTTGATTGGGCAGTGAAGGAACAGTAGCACTCCAATGAGTTAATTTCTGTGCTCTCTTGCCTACTATCAGCATACTCCCTGTATTATACTGACTACACCATATTATCCAGTAGAATCTAACTGGTTGACACTACTAGTCCTCTATCTTCCAATGTGCCCAGTAACATTATGCAAGGGGTTACAACAACTCAATATAAATAATTAAAATGCTTAAACCACTTAATATTTTAATGAATTCTTAATTGACATTTTATTTTATGTCTGTGTGTATCTCAGATTCACATGTCTTAAATTAAAAAAAAAAAAAGAAGAAAAGCCATCAATGTATAACAGTGGAGCTTTTGAGATGAATTTCTATTCCTTCATCCCTATTTTGTTCCTAATTTTTTAGAAAGGAACATTTTGAAGCCATTTCATTTCTTAAAAGTGTACTTTGAAAATAATTGAATAAGAAGAAAGCAAATATATGCATATATTACATTACATAAAGCTGTTCCAAACATTTAATATAGTACAAATGTCCAAGCATGACTTACTTTGAGTAAATCTTGGTGGATTGTCATTGACATCAGTAAGAGTAATGTTTACAGTGGTTGTTCCAGATAATCCTCCCATTTGGCCACCCATATCTTTGGCCTGAATAACAACTTGGTAATATTCTCTTATTTCTCGATTCATGTTTGGCAATGCAGTTCGAATAATACCTTGAAAAAGCAAACAGCATATTTATTCACTTACATATATACAACTATGATAACAGTACAAGAATCATTGAATTCAGCCCATGATGATACTATATATGCTAAATATATTCAACAGCTATTAATATATAGCTTAGGACAAGAATGATGTTCAAGTATGTAATTATTTTGTGCTAGAATGAATATCATTAGCATAGTAATTTACATGGTACATAAGAGCATAATGACCATTGGAACCAAACAAGGTCCCCCTGTTTAAGGGCCATTTTCTTAATGCTGGAAGGAATACAGACTTGTATCAATACAGCAGGGGAGCCACATGTTTGCAGCCCTCTTGAATATTGGGCCATATGCCAATTATTGTTATAATGGGTCTGTATCATTGAAGGTGTTGGTGTACATAATAAAAAAGGGTTCCAGAGAAAAAAAATAAGCAAGAGTAGATCGGTAAGTGCTAACTTAACTAAGGAACTGCTCGTCAAAAGGTTTTTTTTTACATTTTGTCTCATAACTAAATGAAGATCTCATATTTAAGTAACCGTAAAAACACATTGTGAAAACATATGAAAACATTGAACAGAGAGAACATGTAACTGGATGAGATCACATGATACTTTACAGTGTTGGATTAAATCTTGTCAGTATATGAGCATACTTAAATTTCAGAACATTGATATGTCATTTCAGAACTTTGCTATGTCATGTACATTCACCAGTCAATAGGTGAGAATAATTGAACTTTTCATGATGTGTCACATCACACCAAGTTTCACCTGAAAATATTTCATCATAACATGTTAATATTTCAGCTGTGGGCATATTTAGGAACATGTCCTCTGTTAGTTTGCAAAAACAGTTCAGTTGTGTGTCACTTTTACTTTGTGATAGAAATTCAGTATATAAAAAGGTATCGGCTGACAAAATATGACATCTGTCACTGTGTCCGAAGTTAAAACAATGTCACAACATTTCACATGCATTTCTATTAGAACAGTTATTTTAGTAACAGTCTGTCACTTAAAAGTTTTATGAACATTCATATGTTAGTATGGTACACCATGCTGTTTGTTAAGGTTACGATTTGAGAAAATTTCAGTGTAAAACACTTTATCTGTCACTGTTACAATGTGTCTGTTAATAATAATATGGATCATCCAGAGCTAGAGAGTAGCAGACTTCATGATATCTAATTTGCTCAGTTCAACCCTACAATCTAGAAAAATTACCCCTCAGAATTCAAATACACACCATCCCTTTTGGTCAATGTGCGTTGCTAAGAAACAATCCAGATAATTTGCAAAGTCTTGGATATATTATAAATAAATAAAACCAATGGGAACACCTGGGGCACCTCAAGATGGATTTAGCCACTCTGGGTCTGTTGTAAATCCATATGAAGCTTGCCAGAGTCCTGTTTAGTTTAATATTTTTGGAACCTTAATGGGGTAATTTGGAGTAAATATAGACATCTAGGAAGGATGATTATTTTTATGATATTCTCTCTACTTAACCAGTTAAATTAAGTTTTGTCCCAGTAAGCAAGATCAGAGGATATCGACAAAAGTAAAGGCTCATAACTTTGAGTATACAGGGATATGAGGTATGGGGTTAGGTGAACTCCTAGGTACCTTAAGTCCTGGGATTTCCATGTGAAGAGGAACGATGCACATTCAGCTTCCATTGTAATTGGGAATTTCAGATGATGTGTAGTTTATTTTAAAATCTGACAGAGTGTTAAAGTGTGTATTTCCACAATGTTATTAAGTATTGTGGTTTGAGGACTGCAGATATAGAATGGGACATGGTACCATTATTTTAGCTATGGCTATTGGGATTCTGTAGAAGGATAATAACCAGGAAAGCATATGTGAGTCAAGTCCAATTGCTTAAAGTGCTTCCTCCAAGAATACCCCGTCCACACTATCAAATGCCTTTTTACCATCAGTTGAATGGAACAGATAAGAAGATGATTGGGAGTGTGTAAAACCAATAAATAATACTGAGTACTTTGGAGTTATCTATGGCCTTGCATCCCATATTAAGCCCTGTCTTATCAGGGTGTACTAGTGCAAAGGGGATGGGCTTAAATCTAGTTGCTAATGCTTTAGAACATATTTTTGCATTTTGGTGTAAAAAAAATATTGGAGATGTAGATGGTTTAGTAGTTCTGGCATTTCATGTAGTCCTTCTCTTCTTTAGCAAGGACTGTGATATGTGATAATAGTGCAGATTTCAGGAAGCTATACTATTTGCATTAGGGTTTTTAAGTAATAGGAAGTACTGTATTTCTCATATTGAGCTGTAGTGCACCTATTCAACCCAGGGCTCTTGCCATTAGGAAGATATTTCACTGTATTTTCTATTTCAAATGGTCACTTGCTAGTAAATATTCTATCCAACTTAAATTGGAACTAAACCTAGCTAGGAAAAATATGTCAAAATGACGAATATACCAAAGGCTTCATATGCTATAATAATATTGCTAGACTGTGAAAATCCTGCAGTTATTTGCTTTAACATTATTGCGATAAAATCAAATTGCATTGAGTTCAGTTTTGCCACATTTCTCTGGAATGTAATTTTAAAGCAATTCAGCTGTAGGATTTTCACTTTCCATACACTTCTATGGTCTAAAGTCTTTCTCAGTTTAAAGGTCTCATTCAGGAGATGTTGTGACACTGGAAGAAATTGAAATTTTCCACACACCAATGAGCAGGATTGAAATTCTACAGCTCAGAAAGACATTAATCTGTGTAAGTATGTATGTGTATGTCACAGATTCATTTTTAAAATTGTAATTTATATCAAAAACATTCATATATGTACAAGAATACTTTTAGTTCTAACTGTGTCTTGTTTTCTGGTAGTGCCAAAACCTTGCAATATTATAAATATATATATATAGCTAAGTACAACAAGATTTTGTCCAGTTTACATGCTCAGCATTGAGTACCTTATGACAGCATGCACATCTTATGGCTAGCTCTCTTGCTGCTTGTTCTAGCATCTAATACAAATAAATGACCTGTGAGGGCATAGCAATCTCCAAGAATGCCATACTTCTCTGCTCTATAATCTTTAAGAAAGAAATCAAGGCAAATAAAATCTTAACCCTTAGGCCTGGTTCACACCTGGGCATTTTACAGCGCGTTCCTATGCGCTGTAAAATGATCAACATGTGAAAACCAATAATTGCCTATGGGCATGATTCCCACCTGGGAGTTTTGCAGCGCGTAGGAGCGTGGTGTAAAACGCCCTATGCCCAAAGAAGTACAGGAGCTTCTTTGGGGCATATTTGTCGCACGTATCCATTAGGATACAGCCGGATAGCCCATCGGAAACGCGTGTTTGTTGCGCGTTTCTTTTACCGTAAATCACTGTAAAAACGTGCGGGGAAACGTGCGGGGAAACGTGCATAACGCGCGCATTCCGCCCAGGTGTAAACCCAGCCTTACAGTATTGTACCCCTGCAGTGCTATGGTTATCTGCTTGTATTGTCTAGGGAGCTAATATAACAGAATTAAAGTCACCCAAAGCATGATCCTGGCTGGCTACTAGACTGGTCCATTCAACCCTGCTCCCTCTCGGCTCCTGCGGTCTAAGCTCTAAGGTCCAGTGAGTCATCACGTCTTATACAGTGAATAGGACATGAGGATGCCAAGAGAAAAAAACATTGCTGGAGTGGAGGGGGAGACAGGCTGAAGGAACGGGTCTCGCAGCCAGCTGGGATCTTGGCTCGGGTGATTGTGGTTCTAGGGAGTTATTTTAGCCTCCTAGGCAAAACGAGCACTTTTTCCTTGCACACTGCAAGAATTAAGATTTTATTTGCCTATAGTTATTCTTTAAGAGATTGAATTTGCCAAACATACAAGCTGTTACACAGGATTACACATTATAAGACTAGCTATGCATGCATATATTTCTCTATAAATGAGAATAGGCCGAACAGCAGCGAGTAGCCTGCTGGAAGTTCGGCTTAGCTGATCCTAATGTTGGATCAGCTGAGTTGAACTCCTTCTGCACTTCGGGCTGGCCGAACATGCTGAGCATGTTCGGCCGACCCGAACCCAGCCGCAGCGAACCTATGTACGGCTGATTTCAGTTGGTGTACGCCTGAAATCAGCCATACAAGCCTGAAGTGAATATCAGAACAGCGTTCAGCTCACTTAATTTGGGGTTGGTTATTCATACGGCTGCCTTCGGCAGCTTTGTGAATAACTCTAATAGTGACTGATTGGATACAGTAACATTTCAGCCAACAATTTTCAACCCTGATCCTTCGATTTTTTTATTCAAAGTTTGTTGAGCTGAGTGGTGCCAACAGGGTCCCCATGGATCAAATTTCAGCTGTGTAAGGCCAGCTTTAGTCTAAGACAGTAGTGTGTTACAGATATGTACACGCACATCTGTTCAAACTATTGTGGCTCATTAGCACATGTGCATTATATTGTGCATTAATGTGTATTGCGTTAAGGCAGCTGCCTAATGCACCAAAACACAGTAAAAAAAAAAGGTGCAGGCAGCATTTTTGAGAGTACAGCATATGGAAACACGTTAATGCAAGTAGATTGAGAAAATGCATTGGGGTGCAATTCAGAAAGTATATATAACTCACACAAATATATATCTATAAATGACATACACATATAATCTGCAATTTTAATTCAAATCTTATTTACACCCTGTAGATATGCATAACAGGTACTGCCTTACACTAACTAAGCTGTGTTTGCCAGCCTTGGATACATTGCTGATCAGATTTCAGTGAGATCACCCACAATGTTCCTGCTAGAATAGCTCTAAACTCTAGCTCACATCTCAGTGAATCTCGGTAGGGTATCAAATCTCGATGAATCTTGCACGTCACTACATCTCCCTTCTGTCTTCAAGCTGTGCTGGTGAGTTAAAAAACTGATCTGACATATTGTGTTTTTTAAACTGGCGCAGGTTTGAATAAAATTAGACTGCTTGATTCTTTATATTGAGAGGTGGAAAAATAAAGTAGATTTATAATGAATAATTGATTTTATCATAATATAGAATGGGAAAAAAGACTGTTTCAGCCATAAATTTTGTCTGCTTTTCATTTTTCATTTTTTTAGTCAAGTATATCCAGTCTACTACAGCAGGACGTAAATAAATTGCATATAACTCTCACTACCCTTAATTAGCTATCCTCTATCCACAAAAAGGTAATATCCAGGCTGGACCTTGATCCATGTGAATGGATTAATTCATCACTAGCAAAGTAAATGCACAGAACATTTATATTTTTGTGGAACCGATGATATATATGATGCTTAACAAAAACACAGAATTAAAAATTGTATCTTTGGCTCTACTATCCTACACATTTATCTTATGTTAAAGCAGAACTCCAGCCAAAAATAACAAGATAAAAATGAATAACCTGTTAAAAGATAGAATTACAAACTAATGTAATTGCTGTAATATTCACCTTTAATCCAGAGATTTCCATCCACAGTAGAACAAGACTTTTTATGAGCCTCAAGAAGGTTCAGATCACAGACGTTACAAATAAGGATCGGAGTAGCAAAAAATATCAAAACATTGCATAAATTTATTCCAAAATACAAAGGTGTTACACGACTGAAACACATGTGCACCCATTAAAAACTAAGGGGTCTATTCACGAAGCTGCCGAAGGATCTGGCCATAGCTTCGGCCGATCCTTCGGCTAGCTTTGGCCCCAGGACCCCTTCGGTTCAGTAGATCAGTGGCTGATTTCAGACGATGCACGGCTGAAATTAGCCGTACCAGCCTGAAGTGAATAGCGGAACAGTGTTCAGCTCACTTCACTTCAGATCGGTCATTCACTCGTCTGCCCTCGGCAGCTGGTGAATAGACCCCTAATAGACAACGTTGTCCATCTCATTTGTACTATCCACTCATTCAGGCGGGCTATCACAATTCATTTATAGGCAATATCTGGTGGAGCTCGGTGGAAATTGAACAATGCGGGATAAATCCAAGAATCAATAATTGCAAACAAAAAAAGTTCATAATTTTTAATTCATGAAATTCAAGTGTTCATTCTCAAGTATAATCCAAACTCAGAACAAGTCCTTTTGTGTGTTCCGGTGGGAAAATGTAACATGAAGTAGGTGCTTCTGAAGGCACAAGGATTAGATCAGGGGGACACTTCAGTTAAATGACTCAATAATAAATTCTCTAACCCAGAACCATGCAAGCTTGTACAGTTCAGAACTGTACAGTTCATGTAAAAAGAAACTTATTTGTCTCTAAAAATTACCTCACTAAATGCCAAGGGTCTAAATAGCCCCAACAAGAGAGCGATGTTGTGGAAAGAAGCGGCCTCCCTGCGTAGTGATATTCTATGTGTACAGGAGACCCACTTTTGTAAAGATAAAACCTCTATCTGTAAAAACAGATGCTTCTCGCACTATTTTTTTGCCCATTCGGAAAAAAAAATAAAGGAGTAATGATAGCTATCGGGGCGTCCGTCGCCTTCCAACAACATGACCTCCTGATAGACCCGGAAGGCAGGTATATAGCTTTAGTTGCCACGGTCAACAACCGGATCCTCACCTTAGTCAATGTTTACGCACCAAATGTTCATCAGAAGAAATTTATTGCTAAGGTACTAAGTGAAATTGAGGCCATGCGCAAAGGCCACCTTGTTATGTGTGGCGATTTCAACGATGTCCTTGATCCGTCCTTAGACTCCTCCAACCCTCATAGAAAAGGTAATCGCTCCCTTCCCTCACTTCTTCGATCAGCTGATTTACACGATGCCTGGAGGTGCATCCACGGTAGGTAGAAAGATTATACCTTTTTTTCTCATACGCAGGGCTCCTATTCCAGGCTGGACATGTTCTTAGTAGACAAATTCACTCTACAACTCATCACAAAAGCTGACATTGGCCTAATTACGTGGTCTGACCACACACCTATCTCGCTCAGCCTTTTTTCTGCTAACTCCCCTCACCTCTGCACCTCATGGAGACTGAATTCTAGTCTACTTTCTCATCCTGACATTAAACAGCAGGTCCAGACTGAGATATGATCCTTCTTTGAGACCAATACTGCTTCTGTAAGCAATCAAACATTATTGTGGAATGCCCATAAAGCCGTTATCAGAGGACTATTGATTAAGCTGGAGGCAAGGGAGAAGGGAGGAAGTAAAAAGAAGCGCTGACCTCACTTCTAGACCGTATCCGCACTTTAGAAATGTCCAATAAAAGGATCCCAGACCCATCTACTTCCTCCACCTTACGCTCCCTCAGACATGAGCTTAGCCTGCTCCTTACCTCTCAGTTCGACTTTCGACTTCTATAAATACCTCAGAATAAGACACTATCTGGCCTCTATATGTGTGCGCGATGGAACGCTTCTTAGGAGATGCATACACTACTATGGTACTAATTCCCCATCCAAGAAAGGTATTTCCTTTTTTTATAATCTACTTAGCGAACCAAAAACTACTGATAAATTGCCATCCATGAGGTGGTGGGAAACGGAACTAAACTTTTCTCTCTCTCCAGAACAATGGTACAAAGCAGTCACTTGGCCTCTGAAAACTTCACAATGTCTAAGCCACTGGGAATCCCAACAGAAACTATTGCATAAATGGTACTACACGCCACAGAAACTGGCAAAAATCTACCCCTCCTCCTCAACCACACTGCTGGCGGAGCTGTGGAATTGTGGGATCATTGACACACATCTGGTGGTGTTGCCCATCCCTTGGCCCCTTTTGGCCTGAGGTTTTTTCTGCTTATCTCCACAATTACTCAGCTCCCCTGTGGTGTTTCCCCACAACTTGCCTTGTTAGGGGTAGGGTTGGAAGAGTGGCCACCAGCTTCCAGGACTGTTGTGTCTCATATCCTCATAGCGGCCCGTCTCGCATTAGCGAGAGCGTGGAAACAATCCGAACCCCCCTCCTTAAACACAGTCATACAGATTCTAAACACGCATGCACATTTTGAATTTCTGTTCGCCAATGCTAACTGCAGACGCCATACTTTCACCTCGCGTTGGGCCTGCTAGTTGACAGACACCAGATGCTTGACACATATCATATGATGATTACCAGACCCGCATTCCCTCATTGGTAGAGACACTCTCCGCAAGCTCTAATTTTTACTTATTAAATAAAAAAAATTAAAACACAAAAACATTGTTCATCCTCTCTGTATCACTGAGACTTTTAGACACCTCTCCCTGTGTAAGACTTTTTGTTTTTCTTTTTAGTTTCTGGGCATTCCAACCGATCGGTGTTGTAATATTTCCATACACTGCTCATACCAACTCTGTACTTCATCTGCTGTACATGATACCTGTTGTATTGTTGTCCGATTTGTGCCCTGCCTTACGCATTTTGATTGTATACACCTATGAATTTGGGCATTGCCCTTCCTGCACTGTTGTATTGTTTTTGTCTTTGTTGCTATGATAAAAACTCAATAAATTCTTTGTAAAAAAAAAAAAAGAAACTTATGATAGAGCCTTAAATGTGTTTGCATTTACATCTCAAAAAGAGCAAAATATTTATATATAAAATGTAACCAGAAGACTCCAAGCTGCTGACATATAATAGCTATAGCTGTGTACCAGTTGTATGAGCAACACTGGATGGTTCTAGGTAAATCCTATAGTAAACAATTGTATGTGTGTGTGGAACTAGGCAGATTCAGAAGACTTTCAGCAGGCCACATAATACCGTCTATCTTTGTACTTCTTGTACATTATTTTGCCTTTCATGTTTTGCTCACCACTTACCTTTCTCTGGGCCACTTGGAAAAAATCCCCTGAATAAGAGCACTGTAGACCCTTCACCCTTCCGTTCCCCTTTTTGGTCCTGTGGTTCCCATATGCATATTACTCCTTTGTGAGCTTAAGAATGTGGTAGAGGGAATCAGGATAAAGAGAAGCCACATACACTTTAGAAGTAGAAGGATAATGTTGGGCCCATTATTCAATTTTGGTTCTAAAATGATATACTCTGTAGTTTTTTTCTTTATAATTTGGGGTGTTGCAATTAAACTTCTATTTTGATCGCATGTTCTATTTTTTGTTATAGTCCTAATTCTTACATTTAATGACAAATGTATTGGTTATAGTCTGTTTGTATGTATGTTATATAATAATAATACAAAATAGTCATGTGTTTCTTGGCAGACTGCTTAATGTATAGGTAAAATGAAAACCTGCATTTATAAAAATGTGGCATGCTGCTACCAAAAATTATATATTGGATTTCATCTTAGTGCTGATTAGCAGACAATGTAAGGATGAAAAGGCATATAGCTTGTATGGAAGAAATGCATCCTTCAAATACCTAGAGCTCTAAATATAACTCTGAAATAGATAAGTAGAAATATATTTTGGTATTGGGTAGTAGTTGCTTCTTAATTGATCTGAGATAAAATAACGTGAAATTTGATTGGTTGCTATGAGTTACTGCCCAAATCTTTACTCTTTGAACTGCTTTGCTGAAAAAGAAGAATTACACGAATGTCACTCCAGAAAGTAGATTACTACAGTTTTTGCAGGCGGCCAAATGTTATGACAATGAATCTGTAAAGGTGAACTGTCATTTTAGTGCAATGTCTAAAACGTGTTTGCAACTAACATGTATGTAAACAAAGTTGACACACTAACCTGTTTCCGATTCCACAGAAAAATATGGCTGTCCCTGAAGTATGCTGTAAATAACTTTGGCACTGTTTCCATAGGAAGGATCATCCGCATCTACAGCAGTAACTTGCACAACAAAAGTGCCTAGATTTAAAAAAAAAATAATGAAATGATAAAAAAAGGCAATTAACATGGGAGAAAATAAATTTAATAATTACTGATCTTCTCATAAAATTAATTATGCAAGAACCCTAGTACCAGAAAAGAGTCCTGATGATACTGAATTTTGATAAAGCTCTTCCATACTTATGTGCTAACAGTACAAATACAAACAACCATTGAAAATGACAAAAAGCTGACCTTTACACAGTTATTCAGTAAGACAGAATGTGCAATGTACAGCACCCAATAATAAACCATCTTTCACCAATCTGACTGCAGTAAACTGAAATATGTTTGCTATGGGTTACTGCACTTTGTACATCATCATTACTCCTTGCACAGCTTTATTGAAGGAACCCGTTAGTGTCTAGAGATCTGAATCACAGTACCAAATTGGCCAGGAGGTCGGAGTTGGCCTTTAGCTATAAGATAATGGATTGTATTATATAGTTGTCATTTTATGATGACCTTAGTACCCAGGGTCAAACTTTCTATCCTTTATTACAAGAAGCTTGAGATTTGTATTCTGTTACTCAAAAATAGAACCACACATAAACTTTTAAATTATGTCTAGGTCTTCAGCCTATCATTCTTAAAAAAACCCTCATCTCTGTTAAATGAAGTAGAATAACATATTGGTAGGTCTCATTTGAGCAATACTCGCTATGCTCTATGAAGAGCACTGAAGTCTCATGTGGCCCTGGATCTAAGATTTTGTTGAGTTACAAGTGCATGCTCTTGAGGATTTGAGGATTTAGTCATATAAATAAATAATCACACTGTTTGAAGCCAGGTCCACAGGTCTAGATTCTGTACCAAAATTACAAGTGACCTGCGGTAAAAATAACTGTTACTTTTAGACCCCTTCCTGTTCTTTGCAACCTTGTTTCCTGTGATATTCACCTCTGTTTGATCTCAGAACCCAGGCTGTGATTTCTTCAAAGTGAGTGCCCTTTCTTTGTACTTTGTACTTTGTGGTTAGCTATAATTTTAAACTTTCCTTTTCTATGTAACTGTCCAGTTAATTTTTCTGATGTTTTACTCCATATCCTCATAAATTGCCATATACTCTAGTGGTAGATTATTGTCAGACTGCTGCAAATATATTTAAAGAACTGAACAGATTCCTTACGTAATTATAGTCATGCTTCATGTAACAATAGTGCATGTAGAATTATAGCTAAAATACATGTACTTTTTCTTCCTCACTATAATAAAATGACACTTAGATGTGTTAAGTATAAATATAATAACCTCTGTGCTAAGAAATTAATGTAGAATGCTCTAAATTTCAGCTGCCAACATACAGGGGTAGTATATACTATGCTGTGTCTTGTGAGCCCTTATTGGCTAAAGCCTTGCACCTGATCACAGGTCAGGTGCAAGACTTTGCCCAATAAGGGCCCAGTACTCTGTAAGAGCCATGATTGGGCAAAGTCATGGGACGGCGGTCGTCAATTTAAAAAAAAAAATTCTATTTATTTTTCATGTTTTATTTATTAGTCATTGTCGTGGACAACGCTGGACATCGTGATTGACACTGGATTACATCGGTGGATCATTTTTTTTGTTCTTTTTAATAAAAGACTTGTCAATAACTTGTCTTTTTTTTTTTTCAAATGAAAGATTTTTTCAAATGTCTGGCCTCTTTTAAAAAAATGTATTTAACCCTTTAGTGAATGGGTAGGGGTACAAGTATCCCTTACTCATTCACAAGGGGGGTGGCATCTGGGTGCACTTGATGTGAAAAAGCCCCCTGCCTGCACCTCCACAACCAGCACCCCAGGGCTTGCAGGGGAAGATGCCCTTGTCACCATCGGTACCGGAACAAGGTGCTTTCCCATGCAGGCATGTAGCCTGGCATGGGAGGGAGGGGAGGCCACATGCTCATCCCCCCTTTCCTGCCCTGCCAGGCCTGCACTCGGATCAAGGGTCTGATATGGAATAGTAGCGGGGACCCCATGTTTTTTCCCCATTTTTGGGGTGGGGTTCCTCCTTAAAATTCCTACCAGACCTTAAGGGTCTGGTATGACTTTAAGGGGGAACTCCCACACTCCCACACACTTTTGTTTTGCTTTTTTTTAAATGGGGTCCCTCCTATCATTCCTACCAGACCTAAAGGGTCAGGTATTGTTTGGGAGGGAGAACTGCATGCTTTTTTTTCTTTTTAAATGTAATTTTTTTCTTTAAAAATGTAATTGTTGCTGCAGCAGGTTCTATACATTGTACAGATGTGCCACTTTACAGGCAGGTTAAGGGGACCCACCAGGCAGGATATTTAAAGGATTTTTTTATTGTTTCATTTTAAGTGATGTTAAAATCACTGCTCCTTTAAAATGTTTATTTTTTAATAGTGTTTTTCATTGATACATGTCCCCAGGGCAGTACCCGAATCCCCATATCCTTTCTATGGCCATTAACTTGCAAATAAGCCTTAAAAACAGGGTCAATTGATTTTCAAAGTTCTACCATCATAGACTTGCATTGAGTTTGAGTTCAAATTCAACTTTTTCCATGTTCGAAAGTTTGAATTCGAACCGAACAGGGGGGTGTTCGGCTCCTCACTACTAGAAACAAAGAACACATTGAAATATTGTTTGAAGTAAGTTTTGTGCCTAAAAGATGTAACTGTTAGATTTGGCCATTTTAGGTCTCCCTGGAGTGTTATTATTGAAAACAATGATGCTATTGATGGTTAACATATTTAGCCTATATTACTTATGTTACCAGCACTTAGTGGGGTTGATTTACTAAAGGCATATACACTTTTATCTGAGCATAGTAAATTGGGTATAAATATGTTCACTTTAATCATCCAATCATGAGTAAGAAACAAATCCAATTTTTACCCTTGCAGAAGTTTGGGTATTTTAGGTGAACATACTGTCACTGTACCTTGTTTACTAAGCTAAGTGAACACTTAAGCTGGCCATACGCTGTTATATTTTCTTTGTTCAAAATGTGGGCTGAATAAAGAAATTATAACAGATTCCTCTATCCATGCTTATGAGTGTGGATGGAGGAATCTTCCTCTGTTTTCATCGTATTCTGACAGCGGTTGGTGGCCCCTAACATGTTCAACGTGAAAACGTCTGACAGCGGTTGGTGGCCCCTAACATTTTCAACGTGAAAACTATAGAGAACATTTACAAACATTTTGGAATTAAGCACATAGCTTTCCATTGTAGTTTTGCTGCATTTATCTTTTTCTAGGTATTTATATCAAAAAGTGATAGCATAACTGACAAAATCCAAGTGTGAGCATATTAAGCAGCCCTTTCTATTGCCAATGTCTAGTGAAACCACTGCCAAATATGAACGATATATCCTTCAAACCAGTTAGTAGTGCCTGGTTCCCAGAGACCAGGTTATTTGCCACTGAATTCTACTTTCTTGCCCCACACAACATTACAACCTGAAGCCAGGCTGTTAATCATAGCTTCCAAGTTATAGATACCGCTGACCTTTCTGCGGCAGTCATATATCACTGTTCGCTGCCTATATCAACAGCTGGGGGGTTAAAGATGGAGTATTTTTTTTCTTATCTTTATAGGTTGGACTCAATGGACTTGTGACTTTTTTGAACCTGACTAACTATGTAACTTACTATGTAACTATGGAGTTGACTTAAAGAGAAAAGTCAATGCAGTAAAGTGTCTGTGTTACTTCAGCAACTGCCTCTCTGTCTCCCTTGTCTTTTCAGTGGCAAATACCAGATCAGCTACATAACATCTGCAGCCAACCACATCAGCTGCCATTGCAGAATTCCTATTTACAAGCATTAAAGAATTAAAGTTGATTCCAAATTTCCCGATTTCATTAAATTCTAACACAGAAGTAGTTATTTTAGTGAATCCAAGGATGGGATGTATTTTAATGGAGTCACACTTAAGCAATGTTCTGTATTTTAAGGATAACATGATTTTCACTTTTGCAATTTTTCTCAAATAAAATAACACATACTGCCACAATTAAACTTCAAAAAAAAAGAAGATAAATAAGTTGAACATCTTTAGTCAATAAATTGTGTGAATACTCAAACAAGTAACTATTCAGTGAAAGTCAAAATCCAATTTACTTATTTATTTATTATGCACAGGATTGGGTATTCAAAGGACACAGGAATTTGTTTTTCACATGACTGGATAATTGAAGTGAATATTCACATCATTTATTGACTGAATATTCTTAACTCCTTCAGTAAATCAACTTCCAAATCTTCATTAGTACTTAACGTGGAATAATGGGCCACATTTGCTGAAGCATGTGTGGGTGTACTGATGCAATGATCTTGCATAGACAAACAACTCCCATGCTCATGGTATTTACTACTGCGTGAACAAATGAGCACAGACTACAATATTTATATGCTGTATTCCCTAACATTGTAACTTGTTTTGAAGTGTATGTCTCAAAGTCCCAACATATATCAGCAAAGCTGTGGCACACCTGAAATAAAAATGTATCAACAAGAAAATCACCAGCACTCACAGGATTCAAAGCTTGAATATCTTACTTTTTATTGAAAATGCATCACATGCATCATTCTAGCAGTCAGGGCCATGCAAGGTCCCTTCTTCAGGGTGACGTAGTGATGTGTGCATCTCCGGTAAAATCAAAACCACATGAAGTGTGCAATGATATAATTAAAGTAGACAAATAAAGTAAACAAGTAAACATCTAGTAGAAAAGTAAAGAAGCCACAGTGCTTGCTGTGCTAGGGATATTGCAGTGCTCATACACAGATATGCCTGTTGTGGTCAGTATCAGTGCATATACATGATTTTCCTGCCACACACTGTGGTTCTATCTTCAGGCCCCTTTAGGGCACAGTAGTAACTTAGAGGCTGGTGGGAGTCACCAAAGAGCTCAACTGAGTACTAGGCACCTGATACACCCAAATATATGTTATACATAATGATTTTGCCAAATGGTGTAGCTCTTGCAATGAGCAAAGTTAAGCCTTGTCACCATCTAAAGAAGTATAAAAAGTCTTCTTTTGCAAGTTGTTTGTTTTCATTATTATTATTAGTATTATGTTCTCTTTGTTGATGTCTCTTATTCAGTACAATGTGTTAGATAACTGAAGCAAAGAATGTCAGGGACGTTAGAGGAAAGTCAGGACATCTGTTCCTGCTCAGTGACTCAAAATGTACTGAAGCCATTGGATCAGCATGGTGGCCAGTTAACTTGCATTTTTCATAAGGAGAGGTCAGCTATGGTAGCCTATATTTTTCTTTGAATAGGTTTCCTTTAACATTTCATTTCTGGGTCTTTCTATCTCCAGCAGACCTCTAATATTCCAAATTCAAGCTGAGAGAAAAATACGTTACTTACCAACATCAGACATTTCAGGGACACTGGCAGAATAAATGTGTTCTAGAAAAGTTGGCTCATTATCATTAATGTCATGTATCTTTATGACAAACTCTGACTCCGGTTCCACGGGTCTCCCTGTCCTTCTATTTATTGCTTGTGCACGCAAGGTGTAAAAGGCTTTTTCTTCTCTGTCAATGCGTCGTGTGGCATGAATGTCACCTGTTCTCTCATCAATGACAAAAAGAGTTCCCGCTCCATCTCCTGAGAGAATATATTTCAGGCTCCCATCTCCTTTGTCTTGATCTGAATGGAGCTGTAGAAAAAAAAGAGTTTAAATTAGCACATGGTTATATGTAATAAGTGCACTTGCAGTATATGCATTATACAGTCTTCTTTTCTAGAGCAAATATTTTTTGTCTTAATTAGGTGCTAATTTTAAACACACTGAATTATTTAATTATGATTTCCCTTTTAATAAAATCTAAAAAGTACTAACATATACTAAGAGTTACAGTATATGTAAGATGTTGCTGACCTACTTTTGAAAATGCTAGTTGCTTGGCTCTCTCTGCATCCAATACTATTAATTACTTGTAGTAAGAATGCCTAAGGTAAAGTCAGGAATCCTTATATGCATACTTTTCCAGGTCAGTGAATCAGAATATATTAAAGTAACTAGATCAACATGACAGTCAGTAATGCAGTTTTTTTTTCTCAAAAGATCAGCAACGTTAGCCTATATATTTCCTTCAGTACACATTTCATTTAAGCAGATTCTTATAACCTAGTTGAAGCTATTTTCAAAAGTAAGTTAATACATAATTTCTTATTTTTCACAGAAATAACATACTGTATCTCCATAACTGAACTCTATGGAGATATCTGGTATAGGTTTGGGCCCTGATGTTGATTTACTTCTTGCAGCTTTCGTTCAATTTCAGAATTTTAAATGAACAGAGTAAATTAATTTTACTTTTACTTTACAGACATTAATGACAGTATAGGTTGGTTAAGACAGGGCAATTTGCTCATTTGTCTTGTTGTTCTTGAGGAAGCAGTATGCGACTCAAACATTCAAAATTCAACAAGATGATGCAGTACTTGTCCAATAACAATGTGTAGACTTAGGGGTCTATTTAAGGAAAAAAGGCTTTTCACTTTGCAAAATAAATTTTCTCTTGGCTTAGTGAATAAGTGAAGCTATGCTGAATTCCATCATAATGTCCAAGAAAAAGCACTGTTTATTTTTTCTTGCTTGTGATTGGGTATTTTTTTGGTGGGGAATTGGAATGGAAATTGTAACCACATTCATTAAGATAAGAGAACATTCTCTTGCAAAGTGCAAATTTCCTTGCAAAATGAGCAGACAATTTGCCTTTAGTAGATCAGACCGTTAATCTCCAACACTATTGTTGAGTTAAAAGATCTTTTCCTTTGCAAGTGCTACCGGGGAGGGTTTACTGAAGAATACAGTCTATATGTACATTGTACAAGGTCTTCATTTGCAGATATACTATAACTTGCTGAATGCAACTTCAAAAATGTTGACAGCTGAAAATATATGAGCTATATTGTTATTAGAAAAATGAATAGTATGGTGTCTGTAAGAGAATGTTGGTGCTGCAGGAAAATCAGTTAAATCTATCCAGTTATCTGGTGACGGTAATCTTGTGAATCTGATTAATTTAGGACAGCTCAGGTCAGCAGTTCATGAAAACAACCCTGCCAGTAGTTTTACTTAGTGAGCCTGGTGAAGTAAACCCAAAAGGAGAACAAATCTGTTATGGGAAGAAGAAATTCAATAGAAGGCAACAATTATAGAACATATAAATTGGAAAGAAATTTCTAACAATCAAGAGTTATGGCAGAAACTCTTGAAGGAGGCCAGTGTCTATAATGGGCTACAGTGCTAATGAAGGGAAAGAAAGATAAATATCATCTTGTGTTGTAACCCATTAAGGAAAACAGTCATCATTCCCCGCCAGTTGATAGATTTTCAAGGGGAAAAATGCCTCAGTACCTACAACTATTTTACATGTTTGGACATGCTTCTTATTAAAGATTCACCAACTGCACTGCCTACTGAGCCCCTTGACATGCTCAGAACATGTATAGAAGCTACATAGTTTAGTGAAACATCCATTTGGTGCTACTGTAGCATAGGGTCGGGAGACCTTTGAGTGTTGCTTGAAATGTTGTTGTAACTGCTTAAAAGGTATTAACTGGAGTGATACTTTAATTTGTTATCCAATACTTAAAGTAAGATTCAAACTACATGTCCATTTAAGACACCCCTGCCTCATAGTGTGATAACACTACTGTGTGGTTGCACTTCAGAAAGAACAGTGTTATCACCATATTACAGGAAGTGGTTCATATAACAGTGCTACAGGGACACTCAGAAAAACATAAACTGTTGTGTCTATGCTAGTGATAGACTGAATAAAAAAAAATGTATTTTTATTTTGCCCAGTTATTTATAATTTAGGGAAACCACTTAACATCTAGTAGGAAGCAAATCACTTGATTATAATGATTGACTCTTCTGGGGTTCTGGCAACAGAAGAGGATAATTCTGTCATTGTACACTGCACTATTCAGAAATAAATATTGGCAGAAACAAGTCTCCATCATATTTTTGGAGGCATCCTACACAACTCTGTACGGTCTGGCCTAAACACTCTAAACACATCCTATTGCAAAGGTATATGACCTCTTAAACACCAAACTCCTGTTTTTTATTGCTTTATTAAAAGGGTGCCTGTTACCGCACAATACCCTGTTCATGGTCAACACTCTATAAGCAGGGTCGCTGCCCCCTGCACTGTTTTATGCACTAAGCATTACCAAGCTATGGAGGGAGGTTGCCTATGGTTTTAAAAGTGTTTTTTAAAGGCTGCCATGTTTATTATGGAGCCATATATAAATCAAAACACCAACTCACTGTTTTCTGTCCTTCAAAGGGGGTATTTAAAATAGTGTATCCTACAATATTCCAAAGACTCTAGTACAGATGTTTAGGTTTCATGGGAAACTTAATGGCAAAGTTGCAAAACTATTACACTTTTGTTGTTATCCCTTTCTTCTTCACATGAAGAAAGAGTTCACATTTTTCACTCTGGTGCATTGCCATAGCACAAGCATTACTGAAATGCATGTTGATGTATACTACATGTGTTACTGTGTTGCAGTGCCATTTTTTTTGAAGACAACAATGCTCCAATGCACATATGTGGCAGCACACCACGATGTACCATAAAGCACTACTGTGCGTTATTGTGCACTGCTTTTCAAAAAAATGTCAGGTTTTTTTTGTTTAGTGTTTCAGTGTTTTGCCTGTTATTCCCTTTGTATGGTGTGCCTTAACACAATGTACGTTAATGCATAAAAAACACCACACCGTTAAATTGTAAAGTAAAATTGATATAAAAATACTCTACCGAACTGTTAACTTTTTATTGAGAAATGTCTAAAATACCCTTAGGGATCTTCTGTCTTCAAGTGTCAAGCAAAGGATTTATTATTTTAAAAAAAGGCCTGCAAAGATTAAAACCCCCTTTACATTTCTGTAGAGTGTTTTGGTGTGTTCCTATCTATGTGATGTGGTGTCCCACAACATACATGCATTGGGTTTAATTTGCAAGGTCCAGTGATGCACCATTCAAAACATCACACATGCAATACTGTGGGGTCTATTCACTAAAGGGTGAAGAGTTTGGGGAAGGCAGAAGTGAACAATCTAGGACAACATAGCTGAACTGGAAAGTGAGCTGAATTGGAGAATGTTTCCAAATCAGCTATTTTGGCCTAGATTGTTCACTTCTCCGGCCTTCTCCAAACCCTTCACCCTTTTGTGAATGGACCCTTGTGTTTTTACCATGTGTTACCTCAGTTTTGTAATCTTTCATACTTGGACTTGGACTAAAAATCCCAGTGTAAAATAATAGATAATATTTGCTGCCTTAACACTGTGATTATTTTTTTTCATTCTCAACAGAAAAAGAACTGTCACAAGACAGTTGCAGATTAATCTTCATGGATATTTTCTAGAACTTTCATATGGAAGATTTTAATACCAATAAATAAAAAGTGTTTTGGTCTTGAAAGCATTAATTTCACATTTTAAAACAGCAAATATTATTTAATTACCATATTCGTATTTAAATATTTCAAAAATAAACATTTTTCAGCTTTTTAGGAACAGTTTATTTAATAGTCACATGACTGCACAGCCTTCTTTAAGCTACATTTCGGAAATGGGTGGATGTGTCAGTCTTGCAACAAACTGGCAGTTACTGATGTCATGCACAGACAAGGGAGTACTGTAAATAACCCAGATTATAGTATTGACTAGTTCTCAGCCAACTGTTTTTCTCTACTGGCTACAAGCAGCTTGAGTTTGATAGTGAAGCTCCTGCTGGGAGACACTGTGAATCAAGAAGGCAGGGCTACAGCAGGAAACATGAAAGATAAACAGACCACAGAATATACAGACAAGCCATGCACTGGCAGAGTATCCTGTATACCCAAGAAGAAATGATTATCTGTCACAGGACTTGTGAATGGATGATGTGGGAGGAATCACACACAGCTGTGCAACATTCAGATTATGACAAGAGCCTGCAGGGAGCAGCAACCCATGATTCAGGTAAGCAGGGGATGAATGGATGAACATGGGAGGTTTCAATGTGACCATATTTCATGTAATATGGTACACACAGTAAACTTAGCCCAGCATTTATATCCACACAGACATCCAGTACATCTGTCAAATTACTGGGGGGAGAGGTGCTAAAATGGATTTCTACAGAAACCAAACACTTTAGGGAGGTTCATTTTCCTGTGTCCCCCATTCTACTCTATGTTTACTCCCACTGACCCCTACAGCACTACTGTGTGCTCTAGTGAACTTGGGATAGGTTGTGTGAACCTGAGAGCAGTGAACATAGGAGATTGATACTTATGGAAGTGTGTTTAATTACCAGTTTTTAGTGCAGGAATATTTTTCCCAAACATAATCACTGAAAGTTTCTTGATTTCACGCATATATGGAAAGTATAAACCAAAGAGTGTCAGAGGAGTTGGAGTTAATAGAGTAGCTTCATCACAGGTTTATCATTGCCATTAATCAGATTCAAAATTGCTTGGAATTCTGCATCCAATTGGTTTTACAACAAGCAGGGAGAGTGTAAATTATGCAAGCTTCAGAAAGCAGAGCCACCCACCCTACATGTGAGGATCTTCATACCATCTAGTTGCATTGTTGAGAACTTAGGGGTCTATTCACTATGCTGCCGAGGGCAGCCGAGTGAACAACCGACC